ACATCCCGTCCAGTTTTCCTGCTTCATTTTTCACCACAGAGCCCGTAGCAATAAAATATACCTTGTATTTTCTTTTCATTGGCTATAAGCATTCAATACACGGTTGAATGAAGAAATAAATGAATCAATGAAAGATGGACCAGAGCTCAGCCATCTCCCAGTTTTTCTTCAGCAGGACCCCCTGTTATTATTGTCCCTGAGAACTTCTCACTGTGAGAGAGTCTGACATAAAACAAAATGTATTAAGTAATCCTTCATTTCTCCCACAAATGCCAGTGTGCACAAACTAAGCTAGCATCATTGCCAGGGAAATGAAAGACGGGGACACTGGAGATGGCCAGGTGCCCACAGCCCAGTCACAGTCCTAGCTTGGGCTCCCTGCCCCACATGGAGCACTGCCCTGGGTCTCCACAGCCCATAGCCAGACAGACCCTTCTCCTCACTTTTCCCAAATCAAGGCGTTTACCCAAGATGTTCAAAACTTAAACACTAAATCTCTAAATGGAAACTAAGAAGACCGACAGCACCAAGTGCTGTCGAGGACGCAGGACGACAGGAACCTGGCACACTTCTGGTGGGAATGTAAATGCTGCATTCACTCTGGGAAAATGTCTGGCAGTTCCTAGCAACACTGAGCTTTCCTGCCCTGTGGCCCAGAGCTCCACCGCAGGGGTTTACCAGAAAGACTGGAAAATGTATGTACACACAATCTGTGCAAGTATGGAGATGCAGAGACCCCTGAATGAGAACAGGCAAACACTCCTTATTCCCAGATTGCTAAAGCAAGGGAATCAGCCGCCATCACTCATATTGGGTGGAGATGCCCAGGCTGGCAGAGGAGTGGGAGAACTTCCAGATGAGACAGGGACAGCTCCAGGTGAGCCCAGATGGAGTCTGTGGCCTGGGGAGCTGGAGGCAGCTCACAGGAGTGGGCCTCCCATGGGATTGGTAAAGGAAGTGTCTGCCTCCATTTGTGCTGCTACAAGAGAATACCTGAGGCTGACTCATTTATAAGGAACAGAAGTTTATTGGCTCACAGTTCTGGAGATCGGAAAGTCCAAGGTTCAGGAACTGGCAGACTTGGGAATTCTGCCTCCAAGATGGTGCTTTGAACACTGGAGGGCAAGAGAGACACAAGTGGGCTAAACTCACCCTTTCATAACATTAACTCCACCCTTGAGAGTGGAGCCCTCACAGCCCAATCACCTCTTACAGGCCTCATCTCTTAACACTGTTAGAATGGCAATTCAATTTCAACATGAAGTTGGCACAGTGCCTCACACCCCAATCCCAGCTACTTGCGGACAGGACTTGAAGACTAGCATTTAAAAACAAAAAATTTTAAAAATTAGCATGCCCCTGTGGTCCCAGCTACTCGGGAGGTGGAGGTGGGAAGATCACCTGAGCCCAGAAATTCAAGACCAGCCTGGGCAATATAGTGAGACCCCCATTTCTACAAACAGTTAAAGAAAAGAAAAAATTAGTCAAGTGTGATGACTCACACCTGTAGTTCCTGCTACTCACGAGGCTAAGGCAGGAGGATCACCTGAGCCCAGGAGGTTGAGGCTGTAGTGAGCTTGTAGTGTGTTTATGCCACTCCACTTCAGCCTGGGCAAGAGTAAGACCCTGTCTCAAAAAAAAAACAAAACAAAACAAAACAAAAAAACACCTCCCAACTACAATTGTGAGTTTGTTTGTTTCTCCTTGAAGGACTGGCTTTTAAATTCCATGGTCTTCCCTCTATAGTTTGGAAGATACATTTCCATTCTTTTAGAGATTATCTGAAAACTTTGATAAGCCTAGTAACAGATGCTAAAGTCAGTGTCCATGCCCTCCTTCCAACCAGGAGGAGGACTATAGAACACTGTAGGTTTGCGCACCTCTCTCCCAACTCACATGTGGCATCTTTTTTATAAACTCCAAAAGTAGGCATTCTAAGTAGAAGCTTCTAGATGTGGTGTTTTAGACATGCCCACAAATCGACCCTCCTGCCTATTCATTCCTTCTTCCATCACCAGCTTCCCCACAGGATCCCTTGCCAGAAGCCCAGACATGCCTTAGACACTTTAGGCTCTGCTGGCAGCAAACTCAGGAGGACGGTTTCCTGGTATGAAAATGCCTTTAGTTCTCTTTTTTTTTCTTTTTTGAGACAGAGTCTCATTCTATTGCCCAGACTGGAGTGCAATGGCACAATCTTGGCTCACTGCAACCTCTGCCTCCTGGGTTCAAGTGATTCTCCTGCCTCAGCCTCCCGAGTATCTGGGATTACAGGCATATGCCACTATGCCCAGCTAATTTTTGTATTTTTAGTAGAGACAGGGTTTCACCATGTTGGTCAGGCTGGTCTTGAACTCCAGACCTCAGGTGAGCCACCTGCCTCAGCCTCCCAAAGTGCTGGGAATACAGACATGAGCCACTGTGCCTGGCCCCTCATTCTTGAAAGATGGATTTTTCTGGGTACACAATTCTAGGCTATCACTATTTTCTCCCAGGACTTTGAAGATATTATTTACTTTCTTTCTGGCTTCCACTGTTGCTTTTAATAAACCACTTATTTTCTTCTTTCCAGATAATCTCTTTCTTTTCTGCCTTCTTTCAAGATCTCTTTGTCATGAGGTTCTGTACTTTCACCAAGACATGACTTTTTGGTAGAGCTTCTTAACTATGCTGCTTGGGAGCCACTGGATTCCTGAACCTAAGGAGCAGGGGCTCCTATCGGTTTGGGAAAGTTCTCAGCCGTATTTCTCTGAATACTTGCCTCCACCCCATATTCTCTTTCCCCTCCTTCTGGAATTACTCGTAAATTGCGGATGCCATACTAAATTCTCTGTCTTCTTGTCTCTTATCCCATCTTATATTTTCCAGCTGCACTTTGGGGTCATTTCTTAACAGTTCCCAACTCTTCAGGAAACACACCATGGATTATTTTTTAGAATATTCTATTTTTATTTCAACAAGTTCTCTTTTTAATCTGCTTGGTCATTTTTATAGTCTCTTGCTTCCTGTGCATAAATTGTTTTATTTAAATATATTAAACATCCTCATTCCATGTGATGTGTCTGCTTACTCTAGGATCAGAATATTGGTGTGTGTGCTTCTGTATGTCTTTCTGCTGGGCCTTGTTTATGGTACTGTGTGTATGTGTTTACAATTTCTTTCCTGTACCTTAGCATGTTTTGATATCTTAAAAAAAAAAACAAAAAACAAAAAAAACAAAAAAACTTCCTCTGTTTTACGGCAGTCTCATTTAAAAAAAAAAAAAAAAAAAAATCCCCGAAGACCCAACCACCACCAGCAAATAACAAGAGTTGGCAAGGATTTGGACAAATTGAGATCTTTGTATGTTGTAGTGAGCCGAGATCACGCCATTGCACTCCAGCCTGGGTGACAGAGTGAGACTCCATCTCATAAAAAAAAAAAAAAAAAAAAAATTCCACCTTCTGGCTGGGAGACTGCCCCTCCCAGAGCAGCCAATCCTTACAGATAAGGGCCCAGCTGGGTGCACGCCTCTGTGATGCAACCTCATCAGTCCAGAGCCCACCTCTATCTAGTCACAGCACTCAGGCAGCCAAGGACCACTCCTATAGCTTGGAGCCCATGGAAATCACTCCAGCTCGCCGGCCACACACCTGCCCTACCTTGCCTTTCCTGGGGAAGCGCCAGGAAAGGTCTGGCAGAAGCTCTCCTGGGCTCCTGCCTCTCCTCTCAGGCTGCACTTGACTGACTGTCTCATACAAGAACACAGAACAGGGAGCTTGTCTCCTTGGGGATTAGAAGATGATGATGATGATGATTTTACAATGAACGTATACTTCTTAGGATGTTTTCTATCAAAGGCCTGATTTGGAGGTGGGTTTCTCACAGTTTCTACACTGTCTGCTGGGCTCTGGAAATACTACCAACTGCAACTTCTCTTCTTTTTTATTTTTTCTTTGTTTTAAGACAGGGTCTTGCTCTGTTGCCCAGGCTGGAGCACAGTGGCACAATCACAGCTCACTGCAGCCTCAACCTCCTGGGCTCCACCATGCCTGGCTAACTTTTTTTTTTTTTTTTAAGAGACAGAGTCTTGATATGTTGCCCAGGCTGCTCTCAAACTCCTGGGCTCAAGCAATCCTCCCGCCTCAGCCTCCCAAAGATCACAGGCATGAGCCACCATACCCAACCTTACCTGGCTTTGAAAGGAAAATATAAGCATGCTTTCTTAAAGATGCACTATACACTGTGTTAAGTAAAACAACTCAGAAACAGAGAGTCAAACACCACACGTCCTGACTCATAAGCAGGAGCTGCCCAACAGGCAATGTGAGCTCAGAAAGTGGAAGGCAGAAGGCGGACATGAGGGACTCTAATGAGGGGTGGCAGGAGAGGTGAAGGTAAGAAGCCCAGACTGTATCACCATGCATTATACCCACATAACACAACTGTACCTTATGCCTTGAATTCACACACACACACACACACACACACACACACACGCTAACTTCCTATGTTTTTACAATATAAACTAAAGCAGACAGAAGAGCAGTGTGCAGTTTTGGAGCTGCCGCACCAGCTCTCAGCAGACCCCAGTGCTCCTGAATGCAAAGCTCTGACCCTGCTGATGCACTTTAGGCTTTAGGCCTGCTTCCAAGGTCCTAAATGCCAGGCCTTTCTGAGAGGACTAAGGACATTTTGGTGAAAACTGATTTGGTTTGTATGACAGAGGGGCTCTTTTGTTGACTGATACTTTCCTTTTTAAAGACACAGAAAAGGCTGGGCACAGTGGCTCATGCCTGTAATCGAGACCATCCTGGCCAACATGGTGAAACCCTGTCGCTACTAAAAATACAAAAATTAGCCAGGCATGGGGCATGTGCCTGTAGTCCCAGCTACCCAGGAGGCTGAGGCAGGAAAATCACTGGAACCTGGGAGGCGGAGCTTGCAGTGAGCCGAGATTGTGCCACTGCACTCCAGCCTGGGCAACAGAGCAAGACTCCATCTCAAAAAAAAAAAAAAAAAAGGACACAGAAGAACACAGAATGTGTTTGATATGAACCAAGTATTTTGAGATCCTGACACGTGCAGAGACCTGAAGACACTGAGGGGGCACAGGATGGCTCAGGCAGCACCTCACTCTGGAGTGGCGTGCTTCCTTCCTGGCTCACCACCCAGCCACACCCACGGGACAGGCTAGGATGCTCCCAGATGCTGCAGCACTCAAGGAGGTCCTGCTGGGAATGCCAGGCAACCTCAGGCAGATGAGAGAGCCAGGGCACTTTGAGCTCGAGGCACAGACCCTCATTCCAGGGGTGCATGCCCCTCATGCAGGAGACACCAGCTCTTGGTGACACGGGCCACAGGCATCCACTCCTGGCTGAGCTGGAGAGAAAACTGGCCGGGAAGCTGATCAAATGTCTCCATGACAGTTTAAAGCAGCAGCCGGTGGGGCTGGAAAGGTTGCAGGGATGCTGGTCTGGAATCCATCCTGCACTGGGGACTTCCAGAGCATGACCTGTCCAAGAGGGGCTGAAGGCCACCGGCTCTCAGGACCCCAGGGGTCAGGGCCACCTAGTTGTTTCCTTGCCCACAGGAGAGCTTACCGCAGCAGGTGGGACTGGACAGCCCTCCTCTTCCCTCCAGCTGCAGCCACTTCCTCCCGTGCATCCACTCTACACCCTTCTCCGTGGTGATGGCAAACTACACAGCAGCTCAGAGCTGCCTTTAGACCCCTGGCCCTGAAACTGCCATGGCTGAAGGTTTCTAGAGAGCACCTGTGGCCCCCCAGGATGGCTGCACAGGCTCCCTGCCTGCTTGGCCCTCCGTGACCACCCTAAGGTCCAGCTCGGTGGCCCAAATGCCTGCCCCCCAGGCCCTGTGCCCTGCAGCCAACAGCTCACAGCCATGGGGCTGTCCTTTGCAGACTCGGCACCCACATGTCCAGCCTGGGCCTCTGAGGCCTCCCCTGCTGGCCTGCAGCCATGCCAAGTGCTTCATCTGGTAGGTCTAGGCATTCTCAAGGGACAGCTGTTCCCAGGGTCGTCAGCCAGATCCCAGAAACTAAGCCCCCGCCTCCCTCTCCCGCAAATGAAACCAGAGCTCCCAAGGGGCTGCTTGTGGCTCACTCTTTAATAAATGCCCTGAAACATGGAGCTCACACTTCACTGGGAAGGGGGAAGCCAGTGGGTGAACAGGAGGCTGCACCCCACGACTGACAGCAAGTCACTCTCACTGCAAACACAGGCAGTGCCGAAACCCAGCACACACATGCAGAACTCTGCCCTGCTGGCTTTTGAGCCCTGAGCTGGCCCTACCCCACGCTCCTGGAGGGCTCTGAGGAGGAACAGAGGTGGGGAAACATGGACAATGGGCACAGCCTTCCACAAGCCTGCAGCATGGGATACCTGGTGGCTCAGCCCTGTGTGCTCCTCCATGCACAGAAACCCACATGCCACCTGATCCAATGTCCCAGACCCCTCTAAACCACACACAACCCCACCCTGAGACATGCTGGAAACAAGCACGGTGAAACAACTCCCAAAGCCCGAGCCCCAGCCTGCAGACCCTGGACACCGCCCAGCTTCCAGGCACAGGGACCAACCCCCCATGAGGCTCATGCTGGGCAGAGTGGGGTGCAAGGCACAGAAGCTGCCAGTGCTGGCCAGAGACACTGTCCCATCCTCCCAGACAACCCTGTGTGGAGCCACAATTGGGGCCCAGCGCCACGTGGAGCTCAGCACTCACACAGTGGGCTCCTCTGGGGCCACAGGAAGCCCAGCGAGAAAACAACCCACGTGCCTGGGGCCCTTGAGCATGGGCGGGGCCAGGCAGGGCACCTACAACGGGGACTTTCCCAGATGGGAACCAGGGCTCCCACCCAGTAAGCACAGCAGACAGATGGAATGGGAAGACCCCCAACAGAGGACAGAGGCCCCAGGCCCCAGCCTCCCCATCAGCCTGCACCAGCCAAGGCTTCGGGCTACTTGGAGACTGTAGGCCACCAGTCTGGCACAGATGCGGCTAAGGCCACCTGAACACCCTCAGAGGCTCTGATGTGCAGAGGACCCTTGATCTTCTCTGACCACAGCAGGGCCAGCCCCACGTTGCCCTGGCCGGCCCTGAACTTGCCCACAGTCTGTCCTGACGCAGTCAGCACCGTGGCACCGGGGGTGATGCCACTGGCAGGAAGGGGGTCCAAGAACCTGACAGGGAAGAGGCGCTTGCGGATGACGCCCATGTGGTGGGTGCGGGCTGTCAGCTCCTGGCCGATGTAGCAGCCTTTGGTGAAGCTCACGCCGTTCATGAAGGCCAGGTTGGACTCCAGCGGCAAGGCCACCCCAGGAGGCAAGTCTCCGACCCCCTCAGGAACGCCTGCAGGGATCGGAGGAGGGAAACCAGCGAGAACTGAACATCGTCTAGCCCTACCCATGCAATCCAGTCCTGCGCGCCCACCCTGCCCATACCTTGCAGGTATCGGTGCTGGTGATAATCCCACAGGTCCCCGAGCCGGCCCCCCGACACCAGGGCTGGGCCTTCGTCCTGGGTGAGGAGCCGCCACCCCATGCATGCTGTTCGCGGGTCGCGGATGAGGATGGCAGCAGCCCCTGCACTCTCCTGCAACGGTGCATTCCCGCAGGCCTCAGGGGAACTGGGCAACACCGCCCATACTCGCAGCTCCGGGTGCGGCTCCACCGTGACCTTCCGCCGGATCCTGTACAGCGCGAGGTGCTTCTGCAGTGCGCCCTGCACGGAGCTGTCACACTCCAGGAGAAAGCCAGACACCTCCTCCGAGTGTTCCTGGAGCCTGCAGGGAGAGAGGCAGGGGTGCATGCCAGCTCACCAAGTGCGTGGGCCAGAAAGGGCTGCATGACGGAGCTAGCCTTACCCGGTCAGAGGAGTACACCGTGGACCAACGCAAGGAGCCCTGCCCTCGGCCACAAGGGACTGCACCTTCAAGGCAAGCGCCTGGGTCACCACAAGCAGGGAGCCACGCCCACAGCGAGCCACGCCCATAGCCACACCCCGCAGCACCTCCCAAGGTGCGCATCACAGCTAGATGTGAGCACCATGGAGAACAGTGCAGAGTGCCGTGCCGTGCCCACAGCAATGCCAGGATATGTGCAGACAATGCACATCAGGCCAGACAGGGCACACCTGGACCAGCGCATGGAGAGCCCTGCCCACAGCCACTCGGAGCTGCGCCTCCAGAGCTCTCCTCTAAGCAGGCAGAGACAAGCTCACAGGGGCTAGCGCAGACAGACCCTGTTTGCCCAGGGACTGGCAGAACTACAATAGCCTGCCCAAGGGCATCGTCTGGAGTAGTCCCAAAGCCTAGGGAAGAAATGACAACAGTCCACTGGATGCGGGAGCAGGGACGGGCAGGGCCCCACAGAGGAACGGTATGCACAGCCACTGAGAACCAGACCTGCCTGTTCCAGCCCAGGGAAGCCATCGAGGAGCCCGAGGGTCCTAAGGTGGGCAGGAGGGAGGAGCAAGGAGCCCAGGAGGAGGTCAGGGAGGTACAATATGCCTGAGGACCACTCTACCTATGTCCACCACCTGCCTCCCCAAGTCAAGTCTCAGAACCCAACCCCAGAGCCATTCTGACCTGCACTCCAGGCAGCCCTCCTCAGAGGATTTGGGCAGGCACCACATGAATGACCCCTGACCAGATGGATGGTGGGGAGAGGAGAGGCCCGGGCAGCGTGGGGCATGTCAGGTGGGGGGCACTAAGTGGAGATACCTCGGGTGCAGCCACCTCCATGGCTAGGGTTGATTGCAGGTGTGGACTGCACAAGGCTTCACAGACCGGTGAGAGCTGAGACAGGGAGGTAATAAGACCCCCAGAGGGCCTGCCAGAGAGGAGCCCACAAGCTGGTGGCCCAGCCCCTTCCAGCCAGAAGAGGGCTCAGTCCTTGCCAGTCGCCCAGAGCTTCAGGTGCCAAGTGGGGGCCTGCTGCCCTCATCTCTGCAGTCTCACTCTACCCTGTGATCATGCCCACGTGCCAGCAGCCACAGAGAATGTTCACACTCATTACCCAGAACCAGTGGGCACAGGTCTCACTGAGGACCCTGATGCAGGGAGGGTGGGCATAGCCAGCTGTGACAGCCAGTGGAGCTGGCCCGCCCTCCAAGACAGTGGTCACAGGACATCAAAAACAACACTGGCAAGGGAGGGGAACATACGTCATTTACACATGTGGGGCTAAGATGATGGGAGGAACAGCAAGGACAGCACAGAGGGGCAGCCGCAGGTGTGGTGCGAAAAGGTCACCACGCCACCAGTGCGAAAAGGTCACCACGCCACCAGGGAAACACAGGCAATGTGTCCCAGACAGACGCAGTGGCAAACCCAAACGCTGGCCAGCACGAGGAGAAACCAGGTCACTGGCATGCTGCTGGTGTGGAGGCAAAACGGGCATCCCTCTGGAAGACAGGGTGCAAGTCCTCACAATATCAAACAAGCAACTACCCTGTGACCTGGCTCTCTCACTTCCGGGCATGGATCACTGAGAAATGAACACTGCAGTTCACACAAAACCTGCTGCAGCGAAAGCTCACAGCAGCCAGCTCTACTAGTAATGGCCAAAAGGGGAGAATCAAGGTGCCACCACACGACAGGGGACTTCTCAGCAAGAACAGGGAGCCAGAGATGGACAGAAGTGGGTGGATCTGAGGGCACTATGGTGAGGGAAAAGGGTAAGGCCAAAAAATAACAGGCCGGTGCATCCATCTATGACACTCCTGAAATGACACAATTTTACAGCTGGAGAACAGGTTTCGGGGTGGTGGGGGTGCCCATTCAGGGGCAGGAGCAGGAAGCCGCATGGGCCTGATCATGGCCACAGGTATTCGCACGTTAGAAAATCGCAGTTATACACATGCATGCACACACGCACAAAGTAAGACACACAAATCCAGAGACCCCAGATGTGCCCTGTGTGTGCAATCAGGGGAACTGGGGAGGGGTCTATGCGATCTCCTCCCACAGGTTGTTTTTTTTTTTTTTTTGCAACTTCCTGCAAATCTATAATTATTTCAAAATAAGAAGTGGGGGAAAACAAAACAAAACAAAACAAAACAAGGAGCTTCCCCTGCAGAGGTGTCCGAGCACTACAAGAGGGAAGGCAGCAGGCAGTCCTTTCATCCCAGCCATCTGACATCAGCAAGTTTTTAACCACATGCATGCGTATTTGTATTTTTAAAGTCTACATTAGGGTCAGCAGACAAAGATGGACTAAAACACAGGTAAGCAGGGGACCCGGGCGGAGGGACAGATATGAGGTCATGGGCACAGGGTGCTGGGCACTGGACAGGCAGGGAGGAGCTGAGCAGCGCCAGGCAGAGTAGAGGGACAAAGTAAGGGGACTAGAGTGGAGCTGAGGGATCGCAGGTCCAGGGTCTAGTAAGCTGGGCACACAGGCACAGGGGAGGCCGCAGAGTCCTACAGGGCAAGGGCAGGAGCTGGGGCAGGACAGGCAGGGTGGGGCCAGGGTGCCCCATGGGTCCATCAGTCGAGAGTGGAGCCCAGAGAAGATTAAGCTGAGGGCCCCTGCACTCTGAGGTGGGGCTGGCTCAGCTGCCTGCCTTGGTTGGAACCCCCACCCATGCTGAAATCCCCTGCTGCCCCCATCTGCTGAGCACTCCCTGGCCTCCCACAGGGTGGATGTCCTCACAGGACCCAGGTTCTGGGGTCAAGGGCACTTTCCAGCCCTCTGTGCCGGTGACTGTCTACCAAGCAGCTTCTCAGGACCAACTGAGCTGGGACGTGACCCCCAGGCCCACCCCAACCCCTGCCACACCTGAAGACTGCCAGGAGACTAGCCGCAAAGGAGAGCCCTGGCCTGGGGAGCTTTCTCAGCCTCATTGATATCCATGGTGGGGGCTGTCCAGATGCTGAGCAGCACCCCTTGCCTGTACCACATCCCATCATGACAACCAAAAATCTTTCCAGATACCGCCGAGGGGCGCAGGGGACAGGGTTGCCAGAGAAAATACAGGGCACCTGGTTAAATCAGAATTTCACATCAACGACCAATGACTTTTTTAGTGTACCCCAAATACCGCACAAGAGGTACGTACAAATCATCCGTTGCTCGTCTGAGATGGACCTGGGTGTCCTGTGCTTGTGTTCGCTGAGCCCAGAAGCCCCGGTGGGAGTAAGGGTGCAGGAAGTGGAGGGAGGTCAGGGGTGGCTCTGGCCCAGCCAACTGAGAGAAAGGGTCCCCTAGCCATCAGACCCAAGGGTTTCCAGTCATGTTCAGGAAAACACTGCTCTGGGGCCCGGCCTGACTCCTTCCCTTCTCTCTCCTTCCTCCTTCCCAGGCCACCAGAGGCCTGACAAGTCTCTCCTGCCCCTCAGTGCTGGACAGACACAAGGCGACAGCCCTGACACTCTTGGGCCTGCTGAGCCCTGCACTGAGTCCACATCCTTGCCCCGGCCAGATCACAGCAAGGCCACTGGACCACAATCCTACCTGCGACATGACCCTACAGCCTCTCTCTGCCTCCTACGTGAAGAGAGATCAAAACCAACGGACAGAAAAGGACCCTAAGGAGGCCAGGCATGGTGGCTCATGCCTGCAATCCCAATACTTTGCAAAGCTGAGGCAGGAGACTCGCCTGAGCCCAGGAGTTCAAGACCAGCCCGAGCAACATAGTGAGATCTCAACTACCTGTAGTCCTGGCTACTTGGGCGGCTGAGGTGGGAGGATCACTTCAGCCCAGAAGTTTGAAGGTACAGTGAGCTACAACTGTACCACTGCACTCCAGCCTGGGCGACAAAGCAAGGCTCCATCTAAAAAAAATGCTGGCGTGGTGGCTCAAGCCTGTAATCCCAACACTTTGGGAGGCCGAGACAGGCAGATCACAAGGTCAGGAGATTGAGACCATCCTGGCTAACACAGTGAAACCCCGTTTCTAATAAAAAAATACAAAAAACTAGCCGGGCGTGGTGGCGGGCGCCTGTAGTCCCAGCTACTCCGGAGGCTGAGGCAGGAGAATGGCGTAAACCTAGGAGGCGGAGCTTGCAGTGAGCTGAGATCCGGCCACTGCACTGCAGCCTGGGCGACAGAGCGAGAGTCCATCTTAAAAAAACAAAACAAAACAAAAATTAGCTGTCAAGCTATGAAAAAACATGGAGGAATCTAAACGCATTATCACTAAGTGAAGGACGCCAATGTGAAGAGGCTACAGATGCATGAGTCCAACTACAGGACATTCTGGAAAGCGTGAAACTATGGAGACACTAAAAACATCAGTGGTGGCCAGGAGTTATGGGAGATGGATGGATGGGCAGGGCACAGAGGATTTCAGGGCAGTGACACTATTGTATGTGATGCTACAATGGTGGACATGTGTCATCATACATTTGCCTAACTTATGAACGCACCAAGCCAAGAGTGACCCTCATGAAAACTATGCACTCCAAGTGATGATGGTACGTCAACAGAGGTTCATCAATTGCGGCGAAAACAGCACTTTGGTGGGGGATGTTGATGATAGGGGAAGTTGTGGGGTAATATGGGAAATCTCTGCACATTCTGCTGTTTTGTTGAGAACCTAAAACTGCTATAAAAAGCAACTCCCATTAAAAGACAACAACCAAAAACTATAGCTTCATCTGAAAGAAGGCACTACATCCAGGAAACAAGAATAGGGGGCTTTAAGGAAGCAATGGCTCAGGATGATATATTAGCAAGTATCAGAGTTGAAATAAAAAATCTTACAGTCAGAAAAAACCCACAGAGGAATGATGGGCAGGGAATGACCAGAGAAGCAGGAACACACGGAGGCTTCCAGCGAGAGGTGGCCCCTGACCTGCAGGCTGCCCTCTCCCCAGAGGAGTGACCAGAGAGGGCAAACCACAGAGAGAGAGGTCAACAGCCAACAGCAGCCCGACAAGGAAAAGAGTGTAACCTCATGAACTGAACTAAATGTGCCCAATGAGCGCAGCCCTAAGCCCACCCATGACACAGAGCTGGGAGGGGTGGCATCTGGACACCTGTCGCCCACCACCCCTGGGGAGCCAATTGAGGAGGTGACCTTGTCGTGTCCTTCTTCTGATGGCTGAGGAGAAACAGGGCCATGAATTCCAACAGAACTGAAGCTAGAGGGTTTCAAGTATTATTACATGGATGCTGAATCCCATGGAGGATGGCCCTGCCCCACTCAACCCCTCAGAGTGGAGCTCCCTGGCCTGTGACTTTGTGTCACATCTCAGAAGCGAGACCAGAGGTGGATGATATCACCCTTCAGTGCTGAGCTGGGGAAGAACAGAGCCACCTCCAGTACCCTCAGCACTCAGAACAGTGGCGGACACACCAGACACCCAGCACAAGCGAAGAAAATTAACTCCTCCTGCAGACCTCGAGGACAGAGACCACTACAATGAGAGCAAACAGAAAGCCACAGAAACACCACCAAGCATATGCTTGGTAAGGGGAACTGGGGCCCAACAGATCTACAGACAAGCTCTAGACTAGGCAAGAAAGGATGAATAGGAAAAAACCCTGAGACGCAGAAAGGACAGACAGTTGACCCTTGAACTATGCAAGGGCTAGGGGCACTGGTCTCCACACAGTTGAAAACTCACCTTTAAGCTTTGACTCCCCAAAGGCTTAACTACTAACAGATTCCTGTTGACTGGAAGCCTTATGTATAACATACGCAGTCAGGTTGCACATATTTTCTATGTTTTATGCTATTATATACTGTATTACAATACGGTAAGCTACAAATCCCAGAAAGAAAATCCTAAGGAAGAGGAAATGCAGTTCCTCTTCACTGAATGGAAATGGATCACCATAAATGTCTTCATCCTCATGGTCTCCATGTTGAGTAGGCTGAGAAGGAGGAAGGAAAGCAAAGGTTGGTCTTGCCGTCTCAGGGTGGCAGAGGTGAAGGAAAATCCATATATAGGTGACCTACGCAGTGCAAAGTCAGCTGTACTTTATACCATAGAACAATTATTAAGAATAGGAATTCAATAGAACTAGGACTCAAAGGGAAAAGAATAAAAGAGGACTATAGAAATATGGAAGGGAGGCCGGGCGCGGTGGCTCAAGCCTGTAATCCCAGCACTTTGGGAGGTCGAGACGGGCGGATCACGAGGTCAAGAGATCGAGACCATCCTGGCTAACACGGTGAAACCCCATCTCTACTAAAAAATACCAAAAAAACTAGCTGGGCGAGGTGGCGGGCACCTGTAGTCCCAGCTACTCGGGAAGCTGAGGCAGGAGAATGGCCTAAACCCGGTAGACAGAGCTTGCAGTGAGCTGAGATCCGGCCACTGCACTCCAGCCTGGGCAACAGAGTGAGACTCCATCTCAAAAAAAAAAAAAAAGAAATATGGAAGGGAATTTGGGGACCAAAAACAACATCACTGTAAGGCTAACATGTGAACAGCACAGTACTGACATAGAAGGCTCAAAATAATCAAAGACTTTAGTTCTTAAGATGAAGAAATTAAAGTAGCTAGACAAAAAGTAATGAATACATAAGACAAACAATGATGACTACATCTCTGAACTGGGACATGAAGATTTAAGCCTATTGAGCTAGGGTGGGCACACTTTTTCTGTAAAGGGCCAGTGAATAACTTAGGCTTGAGGGCCACACGCATGCCACAACTCTGCCACTCTAGGCAAAAGCAGCCCCAGGCCGGGTGCAGTGGCTCATGCCTGTAATCCCACCACTTTGGGAGGCCGAGGCGAGTGGATCACCTGAGGTCAGGAGTTTGAAAACAGTCTGGCCAATATGGTGAAACTCTGTCTCTACTAAAAACACAAAAATTAGCCGGGCATGGTGGCAGGCACCTGTAGTCCCAGTTACTCAGGAGGCTGAGGCGGGAGAATCTCTTGAACCCTGGAGGCAGAGGTTGCAGTGAGCCAAGATTGTGCCATTGCACTCCGCCTGGACAACAAAAGCAAAACTCTGTCTCAAAAAAAAAGCAGCCCCAGACCACATGGAATCCAATGGGCGGGGTTCCCAGAGAGTTTTATTATAAATACAGGTAATGGGCTGAGTCTGACCTAAGGGCCATATTTCACCAACTCCGGTTCTACATTTAAAGAGCGCACTAAATGCCCAGCAATGTGATATGGAAAAAGACCAAACTAAGACACATCAGCAAGACATTTCACGACATCAAAGATAAAGAAAAGTTTCGAAAAGCTTACAGAGAAAAACACAGTTCACATACAAATAAGAACGGCACTAGACTTCTCAGAAAAGCTGGCAGCGAGAAAACAAAGTTGTGATGTGAACATTCTTGGTGACAATTTCCAAGCTAGATTTTCACACCCAGCCAGGATATCAGGTAAAGCCACTGGCAGAGACACAATGAGTCCAAAAATTCACCCCACGTAGCTCAGGAAGTCATTAAAAAGGTGTCCATCCCCTGAAACCAAAACACAGGAGTAAGCTGAAGAGGACAAGAACAGGAGAGACAGCAGGCAGGCGGCCGCGAGCCAGATCCACTTCACCCGGCGGAGGTTTCAGGGATCCAGGTCCCTAGAAGCTGGGCAAGGGAAACCCCAGGCTGTATGCTGTCACGGCCCTGACCCGGCATGAACATCACTGACAGTCGTGATATCAGCACAGATGACAGAACCAAATGCCAGTGTGACCAGCAATGGTGAGATCTGGGAGGGGACACAGAGAAACACAAGGTAAACAGAACCCACGAGTGTCACCACAAGCTGTCACTCAGAAACACAGCTCTGCCACCACGCGGGGGCCCTGAATCCCTTGTCCCTGCGGAAGGAGAAGGCTCACCAGGTGGCCCACTTGGGAGGTGCCCACCTAGAGATGCCTCTGCTCTGATATGGTAGACGGGCACCCAGGCCTCCCCTGGATGAGTCGCTGAACCATCCCTGGGTGTCGAGCCGAGTCCTCCTCTGGGTGCTGGGCCCTGGGTGAGCTTCCCCTGGGTGTCTATCCCAAGCGGAATCTCCTGGGTGCCCGACCCTGAGTGCCAGTCGCTGGCCCACCTGCCCTTGAACTTCCACCCCATCCCGGCCCTCCCCAGGTGCCCACCTCCCACGCCTTCTGCAGGCCCTGGGTGCCCGCCCCCT